TAGGGTCTGGAACTCACTGCCACAGGCGGTGATTTCAGCAAATAATGTGGAATTGTTCAAGAAACTTTTGGACGATTTCTTAAGGGACCGTAATATACAGGGGTACAGGTAATATACAGGGGTACAGGTACTCCTAGAATGAGATCCTAATAGGTTGGACTTGATGGACTAATGTCTTTATTCAACCTCAAATACTATGTAACTATGTAATGGATTTGCACTGACTGGAGAGTCTCGGTGTGCTGGTCACATCTGTATTTGAAGTTGTTCCATGTGCGCCGCCATCCGCGGTCATTTCAAGCAACCATCATTGTCTTGGAATTTCCGGTAAGGAGTGCTACAGGATCTATGGATATCGAAGCGAAGTAAAAGGGACATGGGGGGTGGAGCTCCTATAAACAGAATGAAGTAAAATGTTTTTGTACACAGGGAGAGGAAAGCCATTTGTTTTACAGCCAGTCACATGGATCTACAGGCGGACAAGTGGACAAAAATCGTGAAAACAAATTATTGATTTTTCTTACCTTTTTGAAATTGTAATACGATGTTATTTTGTTACTATGTTTGTATCCAACAATTACAGCATTAAAAGGAGAACTATGAGATGAGTGATTTCCACTCACCTCATAGTTCTAAGCCGACCTGTGACAATGAGACTGTCACAGGTCGGCTCAGTAGATCGGGAGGTGAGCGAACACATACCGACGTTCGCTCACCTCTCGATCCTGTCGCGGCTCTCTGCCGTGACAGGGGGAGGGGCTGGATTCCCCCCTCACTGCTCCGATCTGCCAGAGCTGACTGGCGGAACGGACGGGGGAGGGGGCGGGTACAGCTGGCTCTGCCTCTAGATAGGCAGAGCCAGCTGTCACTCACGCAGCTGGGCAGATCCCGTCATCTACGTCGGGATCCGCTCCGGCTGCGGCGTCTCAGTATATAGGGAGCTGTAGCTCGCGGTATACTGAGCTTAGGGTGACGGGAGGACTCTAGTTTGTGTCCTCCCGTTACCCTAAGGAGAACTATGGGGAAAACACTGACCCCATAGTTCTCCTTTAAATAGGGGCACGCTGCCAGCTATAGGCTACAGAGGCATAAAAGCATTTATTTTTTTTCTGACCGAAGCCTTCAGCTTGCATGTGACCTTTGTCACAGCTGACAGTGATCACATCATTGGGAACCAATGACGTGCAGCTAGCAGCTGGGTAACTTGATGGCTGGTAGCTGTCAAAGGGAGGGCGTTTATGAACGTATCCTCAGAACGGGGCATCATGCTGAGGGATGTTTAAATACACACTGCCAGTGGGAAGGGGGTTAAACCTTAGGATGGATACAGAGAGCAATGCCTACCCCAGTCACTACACTTTCTCCCTGGCATTGCTGTACTGCATCAGCCCACCTTCCTTTAGGTCAGTAATCTCATGATCTGGAGCAAATACTCCAAATACTCACCTAAATATGTGGTCAGGTGACGCGCTGAGTTCAGAGTCTTCTTGCTTCTTTACTGCAGAGTGAGAGGGTCCTTCTTAATGTGCCCACGTTGCTGCCTTGTGACATGGAACCTCCCCGGGTGTCTATCGGCAGGGTTCTGTAGTCTCCGTGGAAAACATGGTAACATATCACCGGGGAAAGTGAGAAGACCAGTCGATATAAGGCCTGGACTGCAGTGGTGGATCAGCTGTCTTGGCTCCTGCAAGAGGCGCCACGAAGATCACGTGACTGTACATTCAGGTAAGTTAAAAGAGGCTTATGGAGAAGTTTTGTCATGTAAATGGATGACAGGAATAGGGACGGAGTTTCCTATTTTGCCAGCAGATGGGCTTAAAAGGAGAACTATGGGGTCAGTGTTTTTCCCCATAGTTCTCCTTAGGGTAACGGGAGGACACAAACTAGCGTCCTCCCGTTACTCTAATCTCAGTATACCGCGAGCTACAGCTCATTATATACTGAGACGCCGCAGCGGATCCCGACATCGACGTCGAGATCCGCCCAGCTGCGTGAGCGACAGCTGGCTCTGCCTATCTAGAGGCAGAGCCAGCTGTACCCGCCCCCTCCCCCGTCCGTTCCGCCAGTCAGCTCTGGCAGATCGGAGCAGTGAGGGGGGAATCCAGCCCCTCCCCCTGTCACGGCAGAGAGCC